ATTTTTTCAGTTTGAAGAAACTTGAAGAACCACAAATGGCAGAAACAACGTAACAAGTACGCTGTAGAGTTTGACATTCTTGCACACAGCTATTTGACGACCCAGAGTCCAACCCAGGCCTTGCGGGGAACTTCATGTCCTTCATGTTAAAATTGCAAGTTTGTGTCGATATACACTTAAGAGCTCACCTTAACAACGAATAAGGTAATGGCTGAATATAGTCCTTTGGTTCATGTTGAGAAATGTGTCTGGTACAAGGGCGATATCAATCTTAACAATCTAGCCTTGTTTCGGTAATAAATAAAAGCGACAAACCCCTTTCTACAAAACATCTCTTCTTATATTGTAAATTGTACGATTCAGAGAGTAGCGTGATCATGTATTTATCAATCACTATCAAATAGTTATGATGCCAGGAGTTCGCGAAAAGGTGAGTGTATCCTGCCCCACCGGTTGCATCCGTCCCAAACACACGCAAAGACAAGTCAAGTGTTCACCCTGTTCTAATATTAGTTCTCTTGCTATCTTATTGGCTGGAGTTAAATGAAAAAGTTACCTTCCTTGCACATACATTGTCGCAATAGTTGAAAACGAGTTCGAATTAGTTTTCTGCTCACTGAGAAAAGTTAAAGATTTCACTCTGTGTCTGCCTGAAAGGTGAAAATCCTCCAGTATGTATCCCTTGTGATGAAAGAATCGCATTCAAAAATTGCTTGACTGCATTGGTTTCTCCATCACAACGGATAACTATTTCCAGGTTTCATCCGTAAGAGATCTTTTTAATGTAAGTTTCGTTTATTTCTTGTTTTTAAAAAAAGAACTTGAGTTAATTGATAAATTTTGATAATATGTATTGTAAAAAAAGTGATTTTAATTTGGTAGAATGAATTGATAACTGAGTTTGTTTGTGGCTGTACCTTCAAAGAGGTTTGAAGTAACGTAAAATAATTGTCACCAGGAGAGGGTACTGAAGTCTAATTTCATTCCAAGTATTTTTCATCGTCTCATAGTTTTAATTGAAGAATACTTTTTGGTTTTAAATATTTGGCTTAGCTTACTATCAATTGCTAATGGCCAGAGGGATGGTATAAATCCCGCTGGGGTACTATGCAGCAACCCATGCTTGCCGTAAAAGGCGACTAACGGGATCGGGTGGTCAGGCTCGCTGACTTGGTTGATGCATGTCATCGATCCCAATTGCGTGGGTCGATGCTCTTGATATTAATCACTGGATTGTCTGGTCCAGACTCGATTATTTACAGACCGCCGTCATATAGCTGGAATATTGCTGAGTGCGGCGTTAAACAACAAACCAACCGACCAACCAATCATTATGTATCGTTATGAATAGTCAAACTTTTATGATTACATAATAGTTTTAACTTTATAGCTGTGGTAATCTAGTCTTGCGACGATCTGGTTAAACCACTTTCTGAATTAATCTTCTCAATGTTTCAGAGAAGAAAATGTCATATTAAATAATAAATCTGGTAGTTATATACATGTGATAATTCCTGTCATTTTCACTGTTGTTTTGCTGTGTGTATGATTGTTGTATGGAGGTTGCGATGAGTGACTGGCCTGTGAGGGTGTGCTGTTTCGCAAGGCTTGTTTCGTATTGTTGAGTTTAATTATGTGTGTATGCTTGTTGTTTAGTTGGGAGTGTGTATTTGTGACAGTGGAATGTAACTTTGTGAGTGTCTTTGTACGTGGCTGATGCTACTTTTTGTGGAAGTGGGAAAAATTGTATTTGCGGGTGAGGACGTGGTTGATAATGTAGATAAGTGAGCTGGTATGGACGCGGGATGGATGTGGTTGTGTGTATATAGGATGCTTGTACGGGGGATAATATGAATGTTATTTTCATAATTATTATTAAATGTGGTATGCATATATATACAATATTGCTTTTATAAGTCTTTTAGTGTCTCGTAGGCCATTTTGGCCGGTCGCTGAGTATTTGCATCCTTGCCTTGCCATTTGTATGTGCAGCGGGTGACACTATAATAAAATATTCTTTTCTTCTCCTCCAGAGACGGGGAAAGGTACTTCTTCTTTGAATCCAGTTAGAATACATCTGGTATGAATGGCTGAAGAATACGGTTATCCCCGTACTAGTGAGGCAAAAGTTCACGAAAACGATATTTTCTCATTTATGTACTATTTGTGCGGATCAATTTAGAAAAGGGACTTACTTACGTTAACTGCTGTATAAAATCAATAACTTCTAATTTGTTCCATTTGTGATGCTAATAGTGTCCATTAAGAAAGGTGATTTTAACTGATATTGAGCACTTTTTCGTATCAACAGAAAAGATAACCAGTGATTTCTCAATTCATTTGAGCACTTTAAGACTTTCAACTCTATATTGTGTGATAAGATTCAAGTGTGAAAAAATTGTTTTCAATATATTTTGAATACACATTTACCAATGTAATGTCCTTTAAACGAAGTGTTTAACATGGGATAGGGACATTGAATGATAAATAGTGCAACTATAGCACTCTCTCCTTTAAATAATGCATAACTAATAATCAGACGTTTTATGGCTGTTTCAAATTTTTACATGACGGAGGTTTCATATTTAGTATACATTCGAACCTTTTTGTGTCGAACTCGTGTGGACCTGGAAATAAACTGAGTTATCCGGGGTTCGAGACAGAAAAGGACTTATATTATAAATTTTGATACTTGGAATTCCCAAATGAGCTCGAGACAACCGGAAATTCGATATATCCAAGTTCGACACAACGAGGTTCGTCTGTAATAATTTGGCGCATGGTTAGCCGACTGGTCTGAGGCACCGCATCACACTCTGCAGATATTTCTCCCGTGCCAATATCAGCTGTTGTTGCTTAGATAGAATCAACGTGCAATGTCGCCTCCCCTTTACTGTGCACGATATGATATGACACATCTAATACAGAACTTGATTTTCCTCCCATGTAAGCCAAGATAAATGCATACGCCCGTTGTACGTTCTGAGTTGAGTTGTTCTGACCCCTAACAGTAACAGAAAACAATACTGTCCACTCACAGTAAATTGTTCCCTACATATCATATTTTAATACTTGAAAATGACTTTTGAGAAAGAGACGGATATGTGCTCTTTGAAGTCTTCGTAGAAAGAGCATGAATAGGTGACCTCGTTTGGCATCTTCTTTCCTGAGAGTTTCTAGGGCCTCGGTCCTGCCCCACACTGAAACACATGTTACGCGTGGCGTCACCTTAGGTAAGTGACTTTTTTCGAAATATGCCTCTGTTCACCCAGCAGTGAATGGGAACCCAGTAGCGCCTCACGGGCAGCTAGGGTTGATCCCCAGGGTGCTGAAAATTAAAATCGGGTGCACACCGATCCATAGACCAGGATGATAATGGTTTCGCGCTTTGAGCAATCACTTGGTGAATGGAATCTGGCGCATTATGAATGGGTAAAAGCAACACAATGTACTCCACCGATTATATACATCCAAGAAATAACACTACAGATTCATTTATGGCTGTGAAATAATAACTTTATACCAGAAACATTATATGATATAACAGAACCCAAATTTGATGACATCCCTTCTACGACATATGCAACTGACAGAATTCAAACACAATTTGCATAAAATTTTATGGCAATTTGATTGATTAAAATAATGTACTTTTACGCTTCGTTAATTCTATATATTTTAAACCTTAATTTAGTTTTTAACACGGGATATTGGATTACAGAATATTGTTTACACGAGCATTCGATACCAGCATTTAAAAGAATATGAATTAAACTAGAATCAAATGCTACTATCTTGCGTGTCACTGAATGTGATGAAAACATCCCCGTTTATCATGCCCAACAACTGTTTCTAATTGCATGTGGTTGTATCATGTGTGTATTTTCATCATTATACCGTAACACCGGGTAAGAACATGAACCTTAAACACAAAGTAAATATCCCCTTTAGATACAAGATTATTCTGTTTCCACTTGGAAAAGGAATTGAGTAAACTAACTCCGTATACATAGCGGGTATTGGCGTTTCCTGTCAGATAGCATTTAACAAGGTCAGATAAACTAGACGAATAAACAAGCAGAGGTATATATCCAATTTATTATGTATTTCTTTACTGATCCTCATTGTCTTATTTTGAGTGAGCGAGTATGATTTACGCCGCTTTTAGCAATATTCTAGTAATATCACAGCGGGGGCCACCAGTAATGGGCTTCACACATTGTACCAAAGTCGGGAATCGAACCAGGGTCTTCGGCGTGACGAGCGAACGCTTTAACCACCAGGCTACCCGACCACCCCGTCTTATTTTGAAAAATCAGAGGGGCCTTGAGGCAGCCTGGAAGTATTTCCGGTCAACTCCCCCCGGGTCAATTCCCCAATGTCATTTCGTAGAGTCTCTGTAGATTTTCCTCTTGGGAGGTACTGAATGAGAAGCCTGTGCATTGCTATTTACTGGTCCTTATCCAATTTCAGCCTATGATTCGTTAAATTAGTAAATCATGTTAATTCATATACATCAGAAGCCAACGTCTTTTCTACTCGTCCTAATCCAAAACTAGTTCAAGGAAATTAATCCAAGCCAAGCCTACGTATGTTGTTTGGTTCTGTGTGAGAAGTCTTTGCGTTGCTATTTACTAATCCTATTTTAGAATATATATTTTATTATTTTATGTAAACCTTTCCTTTGTGGTTCCTTTTGGTTCAGGTGGGGAAGTGATCGGGGGGTGGGGGTGGGGGGATGACTTAGGGGGAAAATTGACAGAACATTTTCGTAATCGTTCGAGGGGATAGACTTGGCATTTGACAAGACTCGCTAAGTACAGGAATTACTCGAGGAATGGTATGAAGATGTACCGTCTATTGTCGCCACGTTACTTATGATCATAGGGGCGGTCGGGTAGCCTAGTGGTAAAAGCGTTCGCTCGTCACGCCGAAGACCCGGGTTCGATTCCCGACATGGGTACAATGTGTGAAGCCCATTTCTGGTGTCCCCCGCCGTGATATTACTGGAATATTGCTAAAAGCGGCGTAAAACCATACTCATTCATTCATTCTTATGATCATAGACATCCACTTGTGTAACTTATAGAAAGCACCTCTGTGTGGTTCTTTTAAGATCTCTCAACGCGGTTAATTTTAGTAATTATGTCCCCCTTGGAAGAAACTGTTCAGATCACGTTAATATTGAGCAAATCGGAGCGGCACATTTTTGTTGGTAAGACGTAGTAGTCAATCGGTTTAAAAAAAATCTATATGAATTACGTTATAACGTATTCATATGTAATAATCATAACCATTTAGGAACATGTTTGGTGCAGGTTCACACAAACATTTTACAGCCTCGCGTAAGACATTGAGGGCCCGTGTATGTAAGTGTACACTGATTATTTCGTGCTGATTTACTGTATAGAGGATAAACTTCAATATTTTGTCATTTGTCATTTGATACTGTGACCATGAACAGTATAACAAGAAGAAGGATAAAGCACTCCCTAACCTATCAGTGAGTTGCTGAGCCGGTCGGTGACACAGGATTGAAACTCACCACGTGTATGATGGGTAAAACTACAGATATATTTAGCCCTACAGGTAGCATCGCATTCGTTGACTGTAGCCTCGCCATTAGCAAGAACGGTATTGAATCGGATATGTTTGTCCAGAACATATTTATCAGCGCTCATCTGCTCAACAGCCATGCTGACGGATGCAGCAGAGAGATCCTTGACCTGGTAGGCCTTGCTGGCGTCGTATGCGACCTTCCACGATGACGCGTTGGCCTCATTGCTTTCAGTCAGATCCATGTAGTACTGAATAAAGTCCAGGGCTTCACCAGTTTTCCGATCATACTTGACCAATCTGACGCCTGGGTTGTGTGGGTCATCCGACTCTGTTCCGCTCTTGTAGCGCCATGGTGTCACCGATGGCGCTATGAACATCGGAATACCCGGTGTACCTACAAATAATAGTGTTTTATTTTACTTCGTGGTTGGTTAAGTGCTGTTTGTGCTGTGTCAACAATATTCAAACTCAGTCATGGTGGCATGTAAGTATCCAAGCATTGTCCAAGAGAAGTAGTGGTTGATATTATGATAAACGTCCCAAGACGTCTGGGTACGATGTCAGCAGAGACTGACAACCAACCCTTGGGTACCAAGTCTGACCCGGATTTCCAACAGGGCTGCTTGAAGTAAACCTGAGCGTACGGACGGACATCCTTAAGGCCAAATGAACGCTTGATATGAACCAATTCAATGAACGCTACACCCCATGTAATGAAGAAGTGAAGGGACAATAATTGGAATCTCTGCATTTAAGCAGAGATCAGCGTTTGTGCCACTGTTTCGACTCTTATTGAGGGTAGCACCAATATATCGACTTTGAACGTTGAACTCTTCTGGGTAATTGCGCTCACCAACTACAAGACTACCCATATTGTTAATGGAACTTATGGAACTGTGTAATTTATTAGGATATACATTTTTGAAGAACGACGTAACTCCAATGGGAAGTATGTGACTTAACATAATTACGCCAATCAAACTAGGAAAAAGAAGTGGTATATAGGTAGGCAGCAAGCAGTATGGTAACACAAAGGGCGCAGCAAACGTAAACAACTCTTACATCTACTTTCGATTTACGGTAAACAAACAAAATGCGTAAATAATAAATATACATTTTCGGCATTAGGATGACTTTTTTTTCTGCAACAAATTTAGTTCATCCGCTGATTTGAACAGCACATCAGGCACATGTCATGTCAGGCTGATGTTAGAGTAAAGCCCAGTTTACAACGATCCAGGACGTTAACACGGTTTTCACACCTACGAACACATGTATGGTCATCATGAACAATTTACATTTAAGGTGCAACGAATCCTGTCTCGTCTAAGGGGCGCAACCCGCCATATCCGTTACAGGGCCACGCGTACAGCAATCACAAAGGAATGATGCAATTGCTTAACCACATTACAGCATGCTCTGGTGGCCTACCGTCTTTCTTCAGTAACAGTTTGAGGCCATCAGCGTGGTCATGGCCGAAGTACATCCCGGGGATGATGTCCGCGTACTTCTGGACGAGGTCAAGGAATTTGGTGTTGAACCGCTCATAAAACCACTGAACCTTTCCCGGGACCTTAATACCCGGGGGCACGTGGGCGGTCAACATGACCTAAAAATAATGATGAAATCATTTTCATAAAGAAGCAAAGGACACTTTACGATACTGTATGTTTTATCACATTAACATATAACTTATATCAGTATTTTCATTGGTTGACTACGTGTCACGTGACCGTCTTTAAAGGGCCAGTACGTCCACCGTTCGGAAGCATTCAAGGCAGGGCGGGACAACTTAGGAATGGCCAGGAGTCCGAACTTGACCACACAGAAGGAAGCGAGCTACAAAAACATGTTTTATATCATTGGAAAGCTCTCGAGGAGACGAATCCAAATAATGTGTGTCCCAGTGTGTTCACATGTTCATAAGCTCAAAAATTGGCTCAGAAAATGCATTACTGCAGAAATTTCTGGCAGAATTTTTTTTTTCTGCAGAAATTTCTGGCAGTATTTTTTTTTTCTACAGAAATTTCTGGCAGAATTTTTTTTTTTCTACAGAAATTTCTGGCAGAATTTTTTTCTGCAGTAATATTTAGCAGAATTATTTTAATTCAGGAGAAATAAGATTCAATCATTGGATAGTTTAACCTGGAGTTGCTTCAAATGACCTTTTTCCTCAAAACAAACATTTTTAGTTCACATGATTACAAGCAATAAAATAAAACTAATTTCGTGAGATATTTCAAAAAATAATTTATTCACATGCTATATTACAAGACAATTCATTGGGAGACTTTGCACTTTTCATTCTCATGAATGAGTCGTATTTTCTTGGGTGAGGTGATTTTTTCAGAGATGGGTCCTGTCACAAAAGAAAATAGATGTATAGATGAGTGGATCCATATTGTCTAATATAATGGATAATGGCAGCCTATATGCAGCTAGAGTTTAACTTTACAATAGAGCCTGCGGAATAAAATGTATTATGAATGTAAATAGTGTGCTTTACTTACGTTTTCTTCTCAACATACTTGAAATGAATTCTTTTTTTCGTCTGGTCATTGAAAGCTATGTGCACGTATTCTGAAAAGATATGAAAAAAACATTAAAATGCTTTTCATTTCAGTAATTAACACATTCAACAAGCTTTAGACACATGAACAAAGTAAGATAAGTGAGGTGAGTTGAAATTGGGTTGAATGTCGCGTCCAAGATAATTGCACTTATATAGCGATGTGCGTGCGTGCGTGTGCGTGTGTGTGTGTGTGTGTGTGTGTGCGTGCGTGCTTGTACTAGTCGTCTGCGTCTTCCGTTTTGTACAGGTCACTCCATAAGTTGTCAGTGACTGCATACTTGTGTAGGGGGCACTCAATGTTCACACTGTCATGAAGCTGAAATTATATAAGGATGAGTATACTGCGAAAATTACATTGGATTAATTCGTTAAAAGAGACTTATGTATCATGTTTGGGAGAGGCATTCAGATAAGCAAAATTTGCTTGTTTGCCAATCCCTCCACTTTTGGAAATAAATATGTTTATATCAAGAGACTTCTAAACCATAACCGAACTCAAAACTAACCCCATGTGTCGTAAACGGGTGCTCTAAGGTAAAAGGATGGTAAACACGTGTTTCATTGGCAAGGGATACTCAACCCTTATGATCGGAAAGGGGGTCCAAGGACAAAGGAGAGACCAGACCTACTACCCAGAGGGGCCAGCCTGGTATAAGACTTAAGGGGCTAGCCTAGTCTATGTCATCAGCAGCTGGTCACTGCGGCAGAATGTGGTTTTGGCGTTGCTGTTCAAGTTCGAATTTCCGATAGGCCTGTCTCCACTAAAAAATAGATAAATTTTCGGACAGCATAATCTGGTGTCAGATCTTAAAAAAAGTTCCGAACGACTGTGAAACCATGGTAAGAAGTATTATTATTAATGAAGCAACCTTCCCAAATGTGTGTGCTGCATAAGCTGGAGTGGTTCCCCTTGAATATGAATCGACAGACAAAACGAAAATTAGTTTCGCTTGACATATCCAGTTGGGGGTTATTCTTTTTTAGTTTGGTGGAAAAATGATATGAAACACTGGGGTCTGACTGACTGATATAGGAGATTTAACGTGCGCTTTCCGACTGTAGCCTATTTCGCACACGGGCCTGGCCGGACCATTTATTGTATTCCGAAAAGGGTGAAAGTTATGTGTGCAACCAAAGAGGGGGCTTTTAGGGGTTGCTTATATTGAAGTTTTGGAATTTTTAAATTTGGAATAAATGCCGAGGTGGGTGGAGGAGGGAACTAAGGGAGCCGGGTGAGGTGGGTGTTTGTATGTTTATTGGATTTTGGATTGGTAGATTAATTAGTTTTTAGATGCGCTTAATTAGGTCTGTTTTGATTAGGAATACGCCTAGGGCCTTGAAGTTTTCTAGTTTATTTTGAGGGTTTAGTATTTCATCTAGAATAGGAACCTTATCTAGATTGAGGGTGGTTTGTAGTGTGGTTCTGTGTGTTTGGCAGTGGGTGCAGTGGATGAGTGCGTGTTCTGTGGTTTCGGGTTGTTTGCAGTGGGGGCAGTTGCCTGTGGTGTGTCTTTTAAGTTTTTTTAGGTGGTTATTTAGGTTCGTTTGTCCTGTTTGGAGTTTTGTAATAAATCTGTCAATTTTTTTAGAGGGGTGTAGGATTTTAGGTTTGGCTAGTGGTTTTCTGAGCACTTTTTTGATTTGGCTATTTGAGTTTTGATATTGATTATGCCATTTGTTGGTTATTTTTTGTTTGTTTACACTTTTAATTTCTGATTTTGAGATGGGTAGGTTTAGGCTTATCACTGGTATTTTGAGAGATAGTTTAGCTGCTTTATCGGCGCTTTCGTTGCCGTGAATTCCTACGTGGGCGGGAATCAACAAGAAGGTTATTTGTTTGCCTGCTTTTGTTAGGTCGTCGGAGCTTTTAAGTATTTGGTTTATTAATTTAGGTCGTTTTTTGGTATTTTTGTTTTGGAGGACTTTTAGTCCACTAAGGAATCGGTGAGAATTAGGATTTTATTGTTGTTTTTAGATTGGGGCTGCCCAAGGACTAAATATATCATACAATTATTGAAATACCCGTATACATTCTGATTGTCGAGTGACCCTGTGAACAACCAACACCCTCCTTAACCCACCCCCCCCCCCCCCCAAAAAAAAAAATAAATAAAAAAAAATAGTAGCACGCTTACGGTTTTCAATATATACGATAACATACTACTTAGATGCGAACTGTTTAATTGACAGCTGTTAATTGGTAACGGTCAAGCCTCAGTGAATTTGCATTGGGAGTGTGTGTGTGAGGGAGCGTCTGAAATAAAGGTGGATTCAGTCGGAATAAAGATAAGATAATGATCTCATAAATTTTATTGAAGGCTTTGAAAGTTTAGGATCGGCGAGACCGTAACACAGAGTAATTAACAAAACGATCACGTGATCGTGGCGCTGATAGACAATACCCACCGACCACGTGCGCGAGACAATGTACCACCGTATGAAGTGACAATACCCGAGGATATTTAATTGCCAAGTTGGCAGGAAGTCTGGTGGCACGGCACGTACAATATGCGTCGTTTGGGTATTCTAAATTGTCTCAGCACCAGCTTTGATGGGGCAATAAGAGAAGATGATATATATGTTTATTTTAGGAAAACATTAATACAACAATTTGTTATATTAATAAACATTGGGTCTATAAAGTTAGTTTTATCTAAATATTTCTAACGTTATAAATAATAGAAAACTCGCATGTAAATTATCAAAATACTGCATGGATTGGTATTTTGTAATTTTCCGTGTTTTCACTTTCACTGATCACCACAGGCAAATTCATGGTCACATAGCTACACTACAAGTGTCGCCATACAGCTACAATAAGTTGCCTAATGTACATGTAGACAGTATACAAGTCGCAATAACACCACAGGGGATGGAGTTATCTCCTTTTTTAGATTAGTTTGTTTGCGTATTTTTTTATCAAAAGTGGTAGAAATAAATACACTAAAATTAGACTCTTACAAAACGCGTTTCGCATGGCAGCAGAGCCACGCATTCACTGTTTGGAGTACAGGTTGTTATTTGGTTGTTGTTATATGAAATAACCGTGTAATAAAATTCCACGTTCTAGGGTCGGCGTTTCAAGAAATAAAACAATAAATATTTTGACGTCTTACCTGTATCGTAACTGAAAGACGGTAACCAGACGCTGTAACTCTGCTGACTGCACGTGGTTCGGGATCTTTGCTGTGGCTGAAATAAAGAGTGCTATTTTTTACAGAAAGAGACCACGTTGCTTGTGCCATTGTGCAAAGACATTGTGCGAAGGTACGATTCTGAATATACACGAATATATACAAGTCACATGACAAAGAAGGTATTTACATGAAAGATATTTTAAATCTCGATGTTAGAGCCCTTGAGAAATGTAGATTCAACTGAATCCAATCCGATTTAGTGTTACTATCATTCATTACAAATGGATAATTCGATATTGCATTATAGAGAGGGTAATTATAGCTACCTGAAGGAGCAACCATATGTCCACTCTTTGAAGTTGCCGCCAAACCGGACGCGTAATTGTAACTCGCAAGAACACTGTGTACACAGCTTCTTTCTAAATTTGGAGAAGCGTAAGTGTGGTGAAAGAACAATATGAATGTAAGTCAGGCATGAAGTTGCACGGAGGAACCAACGTGAGACTTTATAATCACATGGTTGTTCATATATGTTATTTAATGCGTGATAGGTATTACCGCTTTAAAGGTGGTTTTGTATTTATAATAAAAACTGATCGTTTACATTTAACATAGAATATAAAAATAGTTTTGTCTGGGTAGCAACATAACTGTTGCATAGGGTATAATGTTTAATGATAATACTATATGAAAATTCCTCGAGCAAGCTGACTTACACTATGGATAGTGTACAAGACAACAGTTATAGAACATCACGTGATAAGGTTGATGGAAACGGCAAAATATTTATTTACAATATATGTGTTTCCAGGGGAAGAGCCTGTTACAAAATCTGTGTCTAAAAAAAAGTTAACTCGCTCCTTGTCGGACAAAACTGAATGTAATTAAGTTAACTACCTA